GTCAGCTGCTCACCCCCGAGCTAGACAATACGATGCCATGATGGTGGGTGGCATTGTATTCTAGATTTAAAGCTTTCGTGACTGCAAGGATCCATACTCTTTGGTTCTATTCGGTAAAGTCACGTAGGTAAAAAAATAAAACAACAAAAATCACGACGTCCTCCAGACAGTCTCGTCCCTTCACCTGATGAAGGCCGCTTGTATTGTGGCCGAAACGTCGTGATTTTTTGTTATTTTATTTTCAGCTACGTGACTTTACCCAATAGAACCAAAGAGGGTGGCATTGTCTTGGTGCCGTTCGCCTTTTTGTCGTCGTTCCCCTGGCCTGCCACTGGTGAGACAAGGCCCTAAAGAAATTGGCTCTCTGATTTGGTGTAGACCAATCAGTTTCAAAGACAATGCCCATATATTGGTTTGTTGTTTTCGCTGCACGTTCACCACGAGTACACGTGTGGTTAATGATTCCTTGCAACAACAAAAAAACAATTATCTTCGGTGTTAGAACACCTTATAACGCCTCTTGTTTCATCGCCAGAAAGGGTAAACCCCCTATTATTTTTTTTAACAAATCATATCCAAATGTGTTGATTGTGTTCGTGTAATTTTGGACACACAACGGTGTCCATCGGGAGGAGAACGGAGAGGTGGAATCCTTGCCGGTGCTGTGGCCTGGAATCATTTATGTATCACGTCGCAGGATCGTCGTACGGCAAACCTTCATCCAGCAGTGGATTGACCATGGCTCACGATGAGTTACCGACTGTGCCACGTGCTCTGTACGGTTTATGCATCGCCACGGTTTATGCATCGCCACGGTGTATGTTTCTGTTGTTGCTATGTACCGTATATGCTTACACGATGTCTTTCATTCTTTCACCAAGCCGACCAGCGTTGGGAAGTATGGTCAAATAACCCCCCCCCCCTTTCACGACCCCGATGGCGTGACGAGTCCCTTCATCCAGCAGTGGATAAGCAAAGGGCTGTGTGTATGTGTCCAGCATCTTGCGTAGGGTCTGAACCTCGAACGGCAGATGACATTGTCCCATTCATTCATTATTGTATCGTATATGTATGCTGTATATCATCATCAAACGGCATACATGCTCACAAACAACATCATCGTCATCAAAATAATTTACAAACAGCATAACAAACATCACGTCATCGCAAATGATAATCATCATTGACATCGTAATAATTCACATCATCATCATCACCACAACCATCACACCTATTTGCATCAATAACATCGTCACAATCATCAACATCACCACCACCACCACAACTACATCTGGTTAAATGCTATAAACAACAGCGTTGGAATAAATCCTGAGTTTGGAAATCTCCTGGGTTGACTCGGCCTTAAAACGAGATAGCTGCCCCCCCGTGGTTGTTGAGTGTTTGATAGCTGTCAGGATCATACGTGAGTGGAATAGGAGCTCGCAAACCCTACCCTCCTCACTCCCTATTCATCCCTACCCACCAGCAGGTCGATGGAGCCCCCTATTCATCCCTACCTACCACCATATCAATGGAGCCCCCACCCTATTCATCTCTACCCACCAGCAGATCGATGGAGCCCCCCACCCTATTCATCCCTACCCACCACCATATCGATGGAGCCCCCCCCCACCCTATTCATCTCTACCCACCAGCAGATCGATGGAGCCCCCCACCCTATTCATCTCTACCCACCAGCAGATCGATGGAGCCCCCCACCCTATTCATCCCTACCCACCACCATATCGATAGAGCCCCCCCCCACCACCTATTCATCGCTACCCACCAGCAGATCGATGGAGCCCCCCACCCTATTCATCCCTACCCACCAGCAGATCGATGGAGCCCCCCACCCTATTCATCCCTACCCACCACCAGATCGATGGAGCCCCCCACCCTATTCATCCCTACCCACCACCAGATCGATGGAGCCCCCCTCCCCCACCATCTATTAATTCCTACCCACCACCAGATCGATGGAGCCCCCCACCCTATTCATCCCTACCCACCACCAGATCGATGGAGCCCCCCTCCCCCACCATCTATTCATCCCTACCCACCACCATATCGATGGAGCCCCCCACCCTATTCATCCCTACCCACCACCAGATCGATGGAGCTCCCCACCCTATTCATCCCTACCCACCACCAGATCGATGGAGCCCACCACCCTATTCATCCCTACCCACCACCATATCGATGGACCCCCCTATTCATCCCTACCCACCACCATATCGATGGACCCCCCTATTCATCCCTACCCACCACCAGATCAATGGAGCCCCCCTCCCCCACCACCTATTCCCCCCCCCCCCCCTATTCACACACGGGGCTCAGCAAGAGACAACTCTGTCACTGGTTGTTTGTAAAATGGCCACCGCGTGTTTTGGATGAATGAACGGGTGGCGTGCACCAGCCGGTCTCTCTCTCTCTGTCTGCTGTATTTATCTTTGTGTACACGTGTGTGTACGTGTGTGTGTACATGTGTAAATGTATACGTATGCATACGTGTGTGTACGTGTATACGTGTGTGTGTACGTGTATACGTGTGTGTGTACGTGTATACGTGTGTGTGTACGTGTAGATGTATGCGTGTACGTGTACATGTATGCGTGTGTGTGTACGTGTACATGTATACGTGTGTGTGTGTACGTGTACATGTATACGTGTGTGTGTGTACGTGTACACGTATACGTGTATACGTGTGTACGTGTATACGTGTGTACGTGTACACGTGTGCGTGTACGTGTGCGTACGTGTGCGTGTACGTGTGCATACGTGTACACGTATACGTGTGCGTACGTGTACACGTATACGTGTGCGTACGTGTACACGTATACGTGTGCGTACGTGTACACGTATACGTGTGCGTACGTGTACACGTATACGTGTACACGTACGTGTACACGTATACGTGTGCGTACGTGTACACGTATACGTGTACACGTACGTGTACACGTATACGTGTGCGTACGTGTACACGTATACGTGTACACGTACGTGTACACGTATACGTGTACACGTACGTGTACACGCACACGTACACGTGTGTGTGTGCGTGTACACGTGTGTGTGTGTACACGTGTGTGTGTGTATGTGTGTACACGTGTGTGTGTGTATACACGTGTGTGTGTGTGTATACACGTGTGTGTATACACGTGTGTGTGTTTACACGTGTGTGTGTACACGTGTGTGTGTACACGTGTGTGTGTGTGTGTACACGTGTGTGTGTGTGTGTACACGTGTGTGTGTGTGTGTACACGTGTGTGTGTGTGTACACGTGTATGTGTGTGCGTGTGTACACGTGTCTGCGTGTACACATGTCTGCGTGTATACGTGTGTGCGTGTATACGTGTGTGCGTGTATACGTGTGTGCGTACGTGTGTACGTGCGTGTGTACGTGTGTACGTGTATACGTGTGTGTACGTTCGTGTGTACGTACGTGTACGTGTACACGTGTGTGTGTACGTGTGTACGTGTACACGTGTGTGTGTGTACGTGTACACGTGTGTGTACGTGTACGTACGTGTGTGTACACGTACGTACACGTGTGTGTGTGTGTGTGCGTGTGTCTCTGTCCATTGCGTTGGTGTCTGTGCATTTTCTGTGGATGCATCTGAGACGGTCCTGAGTCTCCCCTAGGTCGACTCAGCCCTAAATGGGTAGCCTGTGATGTGTGTATTTCACCACTTGGGAAACAAAGGCGGCCGTGTGTGGTGCTGTCCACCCCCCTTTCATGCGCCGTGCCGGCCTTCATAGGTGCTCGCTAACAGCACTTGCCCCAACAGTCTGTTGAAGGCTATACGGGGGATCTTTGTATTTGTGTGTGTCTCAGAACTTGAGATGTCAGGCTTTGTGATGCCGGTTATGTTACTGGAGAGGTGAGGTTAGGGTGTAGGGTTAAGTGTTTGGGTCGGGATTCGTGGTAGGGTTGAGGTTGGGGTGTAGGGTTGGTGGTAGGGTTAGGATTTGGGGTTGGCATTGAGGATATGTGTGGTGTTAGGGTTGGGATTATGGTTGAGGTTTGGGTTGGCCGTGTTAGGGTCCGTGCTGTGTGGTTAGGATCAGGGTTGTTGTTAATAGTTCGGGATGAGTGATGACATTGGTGATGGTGATAGCGATGGGGATGGTGATTGTAATGTGGGTTGATGATGGTGATAGCGATGGGGTTAGTGATGGTGATTGTGATGTGGGTCAGTGATGGTGATTGTTATGTGGGTTGATGATGGTGATAGCGATGGGGTTAGTGATGGTGATTGTGATGTGGGTCAGTGATGGTGATTGTTATGTGGGTTGATGATGGTGATAGCGATGGGGTTAGTGATGGTGATTGTGATGTGGATTGATGATGGTGATAGCGATGGGGTTAGTGATTGTGATGTGGATTGATGATGGTGATAGCGATGGGTTAGTGATGGTGATTGTGATGTGGATTAATGATGGTGATAGCGATGGGGATAGTGATGGTGATGTGGATTGATGATGGTGATAGCGATGGGGTTAGTGATGGTGATTGTGATGTGGGTTAGTGATGGTGATTGTTATGTGGGTTGATGATGGTGATAGCGATGGGGTTAGTGATGGTGATTGTGATGTGGGTCAGTGATGGTGATTGTGATGTGGATTGATGATGATGATCGCGATGGGGTTGGTGATGTGGTTGGTAGTGGTGTTGGCGATTGTGATGTCATTGGTGATGATGGTGATGGGGATTGCGGGGAACGGCAGAACCGGTCCTGGGCCTCCCCTAGGTCGACTCAGCCACAAATGAGTACCTGGTGTAGCGGTGCGGAGTAAACGTCGTCACGGGGGGTGGGGGGGAGGGGGGATACAAAGGCGGCCGGGCGTTTCGCTGGCCACCCCACGTGCGTGCCACAGTGCCAGGCTTCGTAGGCGCTCGCCACTCGCCGACAGCACTCGCCCCATCAGTGTGGCTAGAGGCTATACGGGGGATCTTTGTCTGTGTGGATGACGATGATGGGGGGGGCGGGTGGAGAAACTGGGTGTATCCCAGGGTGTGACCCCCCCGCCTTACCCACCACCCCACCTTCAGCTGTGGGTGACGTGGAACAAACTGAATGGGTGTGAGCCTGAGAGAGAGAAAGAGAGAACGTGTACAGGTGAGTGTGTACAGGTGAGCGTGTGGATACGTGTACACGTGTACAAGGTGAGAGTGTGTACAACAGGGTTGTGTGTGCGTGTGTGTGTGAAATGACTCGGCTTCAAATGAGTAGCTGGTGCGGTGTGTAGTGAACATCGCCACTAGGGGAGACAAAGGCGGTCGGGCGTGGTGCTGGCCACCCACCCCCTCGTGTGCCGTGCCGGCCTTCATAGGTGCTGCTCGCTAAGAGCACTTGACCCAGCAGGCTATACGGGGGATCTTTGTACAGGTGTGTGTGTGTGGGTACAGGTGTGTGTGTGTGTGGGTACAGGTGTGTGTGTGGGTACAGGTGTGTGTGTGGGTACAGGTGTGTGTGTGTGTGGGTACAGGTGTGTGTGTGTGTGGGTACAGGTGTGTGTGTGGGTACAGGTGTGTGTGTGTGTGGGTACAGGTGTGTGTGTGGGTACAGGTGTGTGTGTGTGTGGGTACAGGTGTGTGTGTGTGTGGGTACAGGTGTGTGTGTGTGTGTGTACAGGTGTGTGTGTGTGGGTACAGGTGTGTGTGTGTGTGGGTACAGGTGTGTGTGTGTGTGGGTACAGGCGTGTGTGTGTGTGGGTACAGGCGGCCGGGCGTGGTGCTGGCCACCCACCCACTCCACCCCCTCGTGTACCAGTGCCGGCCTTCACAGGTGCTGCTCGCTAACAGCACTTGCCCCAACAGTATGTTACAGGCTATACAGGGGATCTTTGTCTTTGTTGCCATGTGTACGGTGAGTCAAGCCATGGCAGCTGGGTCTGTTCCGTAACCTCCTGCCGGCAGGCCTTCTACACGCCACGTGGCCTCAAAGGGCACCTAGCCTGGCACAGGCGCCGTAGTGACGTCACCGCCAGTTAGTAGCAAACGGCGGTTGCTTTTGTAAATGCACGTTACAGGTGTTTGTGTGTACAGGTGTGTGTGTACAGATGTGTACAGATGTGTACAGGTGTGTGTACAGATGTGTACAGGTGTGTGTGTACAGATGTGTACAGGTGTGTGTGTACAGATGTGTACAGGTGTGTGTGTACAGATGTGTACAGGTGTGTGTGTGTACAGATGTGTACAGGTGTGTGTGTACAGATGTGTACAGATGTGTACAGGTGTGTGTACAGATGTGTACAGGTGTGTGTGTACAGATGTGTACAGGTGTGTGTGTACAGATGTGTACAGGTGTGTGTGTACAGATGTGTACAGGTGTGTGTGTGTACAGATGTGTACAGGTGTGTGTGTACAGATGTGTACAGATGTGTACAGGTGTGTGTGTACAGATGTGTACAGGTGTGTGTACAGATGTGTACAGGTGTATGTGTACAGGTGTATGTGTACAGATGTGTACAGGTGTGTGTGTACAGATGTGTACAGATGTGTACAGGTGTGTGTGTACAGATGTGTACAGGTGTATGTGTACAGGTGTGTGTGTACAGATCTGTACAGGTGTATGTGTACAGGTGTATGTGTACAGATGTGTACAGGTGTGTGTACAGATGTGTACAGATGTGTACAGGTGTGTGTGTGTGTACAGATGTGTACAGGTGTGTGTGTGTACAGATGTGTACAGGTGTGTGTGTACAGATGTGTACAGGTGTTTGTGTGTACAGATGTGTACAGGTGTGTGTGTACAGGTGTGTACAGATGTGTAGATGTGTGTGTACAGATGTGTACAGATGTGTGTGTACAGATCTGTACAAGTTGTGTGTGTACAGGTGTGTACAGGTGTGTACAGGTTTGTGTGTGTGTGTGTGTACAGGTGTGTGTGTGTGTACAGGTGTGTACAGGTTGTGTGTGTGTGTACAGGTGTGTACAGGTTGTTTGTGTGTGTACAGGTGTGTACAGGTTGTGTGTGTGTGTACAGGTGTGTACAGGTTGTGTGTGTGTGTACAGGTGTGTACAGGTTGTGTGTGTGTGTACAGGTGTGTACAGGTGTGTGTGTGTACAGGTGTGTGTACAGGTGTGTGTACAGGTGTGTGTACAGGTGTGTGTGTACAGGTGTGTGTACAGGTGTGTGTACAGGTGTGTGTGTACAGGTGTGTGTGTACAGGTGTGTGTGTACAGGTGTGTGTGTACAGGTGTGCGTGTGTGTGTACAGGTGTGCGCGCGTGTGTGTGTACAGGTGTGCGCGCGTGTGTGTGTACAGGTGTGCGTGTACAGGTGTGCGTGTACAGGTGTGCGTGTACAGGTGTGCGTGTACAGGTGTGCGTGTACAGGTGTGCGTGTACAGGTGTGCGCGTGTGTGTACGTGTGTGTGTACAGGTGCGTATGAATACATATACACGTGTGTGTTTCTAAAGGTAAATGTACTGTATACAGGTGTGTTTCTAAAGGTAAATGTACTGTATACAGGTGTGTGTTTATAATGGTAAATGCACTGTACACAGGTTTGTTTATAATGGTAAATGTACTTTATACAGGTGTTTATAATGGTAAATGTACTGTATACAGGTGTGTTTATAATGGTACATGTACTGTATACAGGTGTGTTTATAAAGGGAAATGTACTGTATACAGGTGTGTGTGTGTTTGAATACCTCTACAGGTGTTTGTGTGTATGAGGATGGGAGTGGTGGTGTAGTGGTGAGCGCGACGTTGCGCTAAGAAACCCGGCGACCCGAGTTCGATTCCCGCTCACAGCCAACACCGGTGACGATTATCTGAACCGGTCCTGGACCTCCTCTAGGTCGACTCAGTCTCAAATGAGTACCTGGTGCGGTGTGTTAACATCGCCACTGGGGAGACAAAAGCGGCCGGGCGTGGTGCTGGCCACCCACCCCCTCGTGTGCCGTGCAGGCATTCATAGGTGCTCGCTAACAGCACTTGCCCCTACAGTCTGTTACAGGCTATACGGGGGATCTTTGTCTTTGTATATACGTGTACAGGACTGTACGCTATTAACACGTGTACAGGTGTGTGTACAAGTGTGTGTATTCGTGGGTGTATATGCGTGTACAGGAGTGTACACTCTTAACACGTGTACAGGTGTGTGTGTGTACAGGTGTGTGTGTGTATATATACGTGTACAGGCATGTACACTATTAACATGTGTATAGGTGTGTGCATTTGTGGGTGTAAATACATGTACAGGAGTGTACACTATCAACACCTGTACAGGTGTGTGTGTGTACAGGTTGGTGTGTATATATATATATACACGTGTAGAAGAGTGTACGCTATTAACACCTGTACAGGTGTTGGTCCCTGTGTGATTCTCACCAGAGCTGTCAGCTCGTTAAGTAAAGAACGGTGGCCATAGGCACTTGCACCGGCGTGCTGTACCGTACTACTCTACGGCATACGCACAACAGAGTGAAATGACAGAGGATCACCCAAGCAGTGTCTCTCGCCTAGGTTGACTCGGCCCGAACTTGGCACCCAGCGAAGGATCCATCCGCTGGACCGGCGTCCTTCGTTTTGCGCAAGGCCACCAGGGGCCCACTGGCGGGGCCCCTGGTGGCCTTTAGCGTGGCCCACTGACCCCATCATCGTCATCACCGTGCTGTCAATCAAACCCAACAGTCCATAATATAGGGGGGAGGAGGGGGGGGGTTTGGGGGGTAAGATCACGTAAACATAAATGCGTCGTTAAACCTGCCGCCACCCGGCGCAGCCAATTGGTGAGGTTTGTCACGTAAACAGAACGTGGCCAATTCGCTACGGGTACAGCAACACCGGTTGCGTTGGAGAGCGAATCCTTAACATTTGCCATCCTCAGCACGACGTTTCGCCGGTAAATCACAACGGGCTTCATCAGGCGACAGCCGACGTGTTTTAAAACGAACCCAAACGGTGGTTTCAAATGTGCGGCAGGGCCCCTTGGCGCGCACTACCGGATGATGTTTTACCGGCGAAAGTGCCCCCGGTCTCAAAATTAGCGAAGGTCCACCGCCCAAGGTTTACTCGGCCAGACGTCGTCACCGCGTCGTGACACGGCCTCTGTGTCATGACACGGCCTCTGTGTCATGACACGGCCTCCGTGTCGGACGAACTCGAGTGGGCGGAAATGTGGGGAGGGGGGTGGGAGGAATGGGGGGTGGTGCGAGGTGAGCTTACGGTTGTGGCACCTTGGGAGGTGCAAAAAAAAAACCAACACAACGGGACCTCTGTAATGGGAAGGGGCGAGAGTGTCTCTGCAATGTTCCATCGCGTCGTCTTGTGTGGCGGATGGTTATGATGATTATGGTGATGATGATGATGATTATCGGCGTTATGCAACTGACCGAAACTGGGACGCTTTACCAACCCGGTGGAAGAATTACAGAATTCCCAGGGCACAGCTGCCACGTGAAAAAAAACAAATAAAATAGGACTGTGATCCCGGCGAAACCGGGACAGGTGCCAACCGTCGGTGAGCAAGTTACCCCTTGTTCGGTTTGGCGATACACAAGCACCCGGCGAGGTGCCCCCCCCCCCTAGGTCCGCTCAGCCTCAAACGAGCCTTGTTGAATGGGAGTGGCCATTTGATTGAAGGCCCCTTTCAAGGGAACTGGTTCTCGGTGGTCGTTGGGCCGGTAAATATCTCTGCCGACCCTGTGACCTGTGGTTATTATTCGCGCTCGTGGCCAACACCGGTGACGATTATCTGAAGCTGTCCTGGGCCTCACCCTAAGGCCGACTCGGCCTCAATTGAGCACCTGGAGCGGTCCGTCAACATCGCCGCTGGGGAGACGAAGGCGGGCGGGCGTGTTGCTGGCCACTCCACCCCCTCCTCGTGTGCCATGCTGGACTTTATAGGCGCTTGCTAACAGCACTGTCTGTTAAGGGGGACTCTTCGTCTTATTCTGATCACTCCGACTATTTTTATTTTCCCAGGTTAGACGCACTGAGCCATATCGCTCTTATTCAGAAGCGACCTTTGCCACATGACAGCTGAACGAAGTGGCTTATCACCATGTGGAAATCTAAAGCAGCCAAACACTGTAAACACGTGACGTTGATTCTAAATGTGAAGGGGGGAAAAACCCGGAGGACCCGGAGAAAAATTCACGTCAC